TTAAAGAGAGAGGATAAAGAAAGGTGAATAAAAGCAGAAATTCATCTTAATTTGATAAAAAGGGGGAAAGGGTGAGAAATGCATTAAGAAATAAAAAATGAAGAAAGAAAGCAAGAAAGAAAGAAAGAAAGCAAGAAAGAAAGAAAGAAAGAAAGACTGGAGAGTGGAAAACAAAAGAGAATGAAAGAAAGAAAGATATGCAGTACATGAAAGGAAGACTGTTAAAAGGGAAGAAAGAAAGAAAAATAAGAAAGAAAGAAAGAAAGAAAAATAAGAAAGAAAGAAAGAAAGAAAGAAAGAAAGACAGGGGAGGAAGAAAAGAGTAATAGAAAGTAAACTGACTGAAAAAGAAAGAAAAAAGGAAGTAAAGTGTATTAGAAAGAAAGAAAGAAAGAAAGAAAGGAAGGAAAGAAGGAAGGAAGGAAGGAAGGAAAGAAGGAGGGATCGATAGGGAACAGTGATTGAGAAAAATGAAGAAAAATGCAAGTAAAGAGTATTAGAAAGAAAGAAAGAAAGAAAGAAAGAAAGAAAGAAAGAAAGAAAGAAAGTGTCTAAATTAAGAAACATATGCTAACCTAAAAAAATAATAAAAGATAAAAAATATAACTTAGGAAAGTAAGAAATAAAAACAAGTAAAGAACATTGAAATATTGTTTTTTATATAAGAAGCAATCCTGAATTGGAAAGGATTACAAAGAAAAATGGTTGAATTGTGTGATTTGATTTGATAATTTTACGTTGGATTCTTTTCTGCTACCCGAACTGCTTTCCCTCCACAGGTGTCCTTATTATAATCCATTTCAAGGCTTTTTTCATAGTTGTTGAAAGAATTTATTTTTATTTTAAATGTTATGTCAATCATCAAACTTCATAGAGAAAAACTTTGGCAAGCTCTTTAATTGAGGAGGCAAAATTTTGCTTTCAATTAGATTCTGACAAATAATTTTATGGTTATTGCCATTGTATTCTTTTATTTTCCCTTATTTTTCTCTTTCCTGTTTTCATTTTACTGTAATTTCTTCCAATCTTTTTTTTTTTCTATCAAATAAATGAATGAGTTAAAGAATATTTTATACATTTTTGGATTGCTCAAATTTACAGCTTCTATAAAAACGGTTGGCTTCTGGTAATTTTATATACACCCAAAATTGTATTGTTCTTTTTTGTCGGAACTCCTAACAGGGAAAGGCATCAGTGTAAACCCTAGAGTTAATGTAACAGACAAAAAGTTTAGAAGTTTCTCACTAGTCTTTCACTATAGAAAATGTTCAGATGTAATATATTCGTTACTTCCACTAGTTCTAACCATCAGAGCTAAGACCCACCTCATTGTAGTGAATCACCCTTATACCCTTTGTATTTCATTGATGTGATGTAAGTTCCAATTAAATAGCTTCTTCCCATGACACCTCTACTTTGAAGATGCTTTCCAAATCACCATAGTCTGAACCTGTTCAAGTCTAGAGTTAACCCTTCTCTTTCCCACATATTCTCATAAACTGTGCCCCTTACTCTGTAACCCTCTACATTTAGTGGCTCTTGGGCTTTGCACAGGGAAAAAATTATTGTAAAAAAAAAACATAGATATGTAGATGTGACAGTAGTTGAATGTTAGATTACTCATGTCTGTCTTAAACATCAAGTAATATTGGGTGGTTGAAAGTAAACAATTTTTTTTTATTCTTTAGACATGAAAAATTAATTGCCACATTTAATAATACATAGAAGAAAATTTTTATGGGAAAATTTACATAATATGCTTTATTTTATACTCACTTAAATGCTGCAATCATTTAAATTAGCTCCCGTGAAGGGATAATTGGGCCTCTGTCCTAAAACTAAAGGGACCTCTGATCCAGCTTAGAAAATAGCAATGATAATCTTGAAGAAATAACTTTGAATTTCTCAATTCACCCATTGAAAATTCAAAACCTCATTTTAACTCTGATTTGGGCTATAAGTCCAATTCTAGTAAAAAGACAAGTTTGGGCCAAAATTCCAATTCAGCCTGAAAATCAAGTTCTTCAAATCATAAACTCTGCAGAACTTCAAAAAATGACTTCACAAAATGTCTCACTTTAACTCTAATTCCTTGGCATTTGAAAAAATAAAATTGATTTCCTCAATTCACAACATTTTGGAGATATTTTAAAACTGAATTTAAAACAAAAAATTTTAAATTCACAAAGATTTGTGTTAATTTAAACTCAATATAAATTAAAAACCTTTAAAATCACTAATTTATTTCAGTTATTTTAAGATTTGAATTTTAAACTGTTCCTTCCTCATCCAAACACAAATCCCAATTCTGGATGTTCAAGCACAAGATGAAGGGCAGATTTTAAATTCCAGTATCACCCTGATTCCAAAAAGATATAAGTCTGTGTGGCCTGAGTTAGAACTTAATGAAATACATACACAGAGATTGGGCATCACACTGAAGGCTTGGTTTCTGGAATCCATTTTTTTTTTTTGTGAAACATTTTTCTTAACCTTCATTCATCGGAAGCTTTCTGAGTAAAATGTTTAGTGGTATTGTAAAATATTTACTGTGACCAGAAGTATTCAGTTTTTATCATTTGTTTTTCTCCAATAGATAAAACCCTCTAGATCATGTACATCACAAACTGTTTAAATTAAATGTTATGAAAGTAAATGGTGGTGTGGGGGGCTCCAAACTGCTAAGGATGTGAAAATTTGCATCGCTAAAATCTGGCCACCTTGAATAATATGGATGTAATCTTGAAATCTGATCTATCAAACAACCTCTAATGGAGATACTTTCGTGCTACTGTAGAGGCTGTTTTAATGTATGGTGCCACTGTTTGGACATTAACTAAAACCCTAGAGTCTAAGGTTGATGGAACTGACACTCGGATGCTGAGAGCTATACTTAACATGTCCTGAAGACAACATCCAACTAACTCAGAGCTCTATGGACCCATCACTGATATTTCTACAATCTTATGCAAACTCAGAATACACTTTGCAGGACATTGCCAGTGAGCAAAGCATGAACTCACAAGTGATCTACTGTCCCGGAAATCTAGCCATGGACAAACATACATTGACCAGCTATGTTATGACACAGAATGCCTTCTTAGTGATCTTCCAATCTTGATGCAGGACCGTAATGACTGGTGCGAGTCATGAGTGTTCAATCTAGTTTGACCGAATAAATAATCTTGAAATCTTGAATGGTAACCGACTATTGCTAAACAGTTTTAATTCAGCAACAAGTAATACTTGCAGTCAAACATCACTTAAATACAAGTTAGTAAAATGTTGTCCACTTGACAGCATTATCATCACCATCAATTCCATGATAGGATGTAATAATACAGTTGGTGTGCAGCTGAGCATATCTTGATAGGGATTTGTTCATGTGCAGTGTGTCTTGGGTAAAGTAGACCTGGCAGAGCCCATCCCTCTTCAGGTCTGACCACAGGTGATATCATCCAACTTGAAGGTTCAGCTCAGGCATGGATGAGTAGCCGTTGATTCCATGATGATGATGATGATCATCAGTCCCATGAGTGGGTGTGGTCATGGGATCGATGTGTAGCTGAGCATATCTCGATAGGGATTTGTTCATGCGCAGTGTGTCTTGGGTAAAGTAGACCTGGCTGAGCCCATCCCTCTTCAGGTCAGATCACAGTCGATATCTTCCAGCTATGTTATGACACAGAATGCCTCCCGAGTGATCAAACAGAGCATTTACTTAAATACTTGTATCTATAAAAAAGAACGTTAAACATAAAAATGTCTTTAATAAATAAATTGTCGGACTTTGTCCATTTCTTAACATATATATATATATAACTATATACGTACATATATATATATATATATATATATATATATATTATGATATCAACAAAGTCAGACAATTATTTTAAGACATTTTTTTATGTTTATACGTTCTTTTTATAGATACAAATATTTAAGTAAATGCTCTGTTTATAATAAACAGCATTAAACAACATTTACTGGCCTGAATGTCCAAGAAATTTTCATAGAAAATATGCATCCTCCAACAGGAATTGAACCTGTATCCTATATGGAATTGTCATATAGTTAGACACAGAGGAGTGTTTTGGTTAGCAAGATCGATTTTAAGGTCGAATTTTAGTTTAAAATCAGTAAAATCGACCTTACTAACTGAAATGCTCCTCTGTGGCTAAATCGGTAAAGCACATCCTGGCTATATGATGGTTCTGTACAGGATACAGATTCCTGTCGGTGGACACATATTTTCTATATTATAAACAGAGCATTGACTTAAATACTTAGATAGATAGATAGATAGATAGATAGATAGATAGATAGATAGATGTATAAGTATATTTATGTATAGATGTATATATGTGTATATATATTCACATACAATACATAGAGAGAGAGAGAGAAGATTCACTCTGTATAAATATTCTGATACATCCATATATTTGTTTGGGCATGCACAAACATGCATATACATACACATATATCTAGATAGATAGATAGATAGATAGATAGATAGATAGATAGATAGATAGATAGTGAGAGAGAGAGATAGAGAGAGAGAGAGAGAGAAGAGAGGTATATGTGTGCATAAATATTCCTATGCATCCATATATTTGTTCGGACACACAAACCATGAATAAGCATAAATTCAGAGCTTTGTTGTCCTCCCCATTGTTGGAAAACCGAGTGAAAGAGAAACTATCCAGCTGACCAATGTTTCCTGAGGGATATCTGTTCTTTGACTAATTAATCAACTTGTCCCAAGGATAGGATGGCTTTATCATTGAAGTTTGCATGAAAAAAATAAATGAACTGATGGAAAATAAAAGGTATGGATAGGATCAGATGCAGTTTGGGCATTTTGCAATGAAATCAATGATAAAACCAGTTATGGAATTGATTTGCAAATAAGAGAAGACAACATGGATTAGAGAACAGATCAATATGAAAAATATCATAGAAGTCATTAAACAATAAAAATAGAGATAGGCAGGATACAGGGCAAGAAGAAAGGATAACAGCTGGAGTAATAGGTTGGTTTATTTATTCCCAATAGAGAGCAAAGGCTGTATGTGTGTTGGGATTAAGAAAATATAGATTGTGTCATCCCTGTACAAAGGGTAACCCACTACAAAAAATGGGACCATTTTATTGTAGAGACATCTATATTTTTGACATGCAAAATATATATATATATATATATATATATATATATCATGAAACAGGTAAGTATTGTGAACATTTTATCTATTGATAAAAATATATATATATATATATATATATATATATATATATATATATATATTTGGTTGGATAGATGTGAGTTTGTGACCCTGGGTTTCACGCTTTAGCGATCGTCAGACAAACTGATTAATTTTTTAAAAATTTTGGGTTTATATAGATTGCGTGTATTGGTGTTATTATGGAAGTGGTGGGGGAAATGTCCTTGTTGTGTCGTCATCGTACTGACGCAAACATCGATGTATGTTCATACGTCTAATGAAGTACGCAGACACATATACATACTTGGTCGTCCGTCAGGATTCATACATATATAAACATATGTGGGCAGTTTCGGATTAGACATAAGTTTGTATACGGGTGGTGTTGTGTCTATACATACACATTTGTATGTTGAAATTCAAAGAATGGGAGTGTAGCAAAAATTTTCGTGAATGTATACATGTCATATTTTATTTTTCCACTGAATAATATTTCCTCGCATGTATGTGTATACGTGTGGTGGGGTTTGTGTAAAATTATGATAGGTAAAAATATTTATTATTTATATTTATTTTTAAATTTTTGAAAAAAAAGAGGGTTTATTTAAAGCTGGTTATTTGTTTGATTTTGATGACCGTGTATATATAACAGGTAGAAATTTGTAATCCTTATTGGTTATTTTATATGTTGATATTTAATATTTAATATGCTGGGTGAGAGGGTAGTTTATGTTAATAATTATAGCAGGTCTATATGATATGATGTGATAGTAATGTTGCAAGGGATTGGGGACAATGATGATATAATTAGCTAATAGTTATTGTATTGTAAATTGGTAGGAGTGATTAGTAACGGTGGTGGGAAAATGATAAAACCATAAATGTACTAATAGCAGTGGTAGCTTGAACTAAAAAGTGGTTGTTGGTGTTATATTTCATTTTGTTATATGTATTAATTTATTTTGGTATAAATCCTGATAATAGGTATTCTGTGTAAAATTATGATAGTTGAAGATTGCTATAATTTTTAATTTTTAATTTTTAATTTACAAAAAACATTATTGTTATTATATTAAAGCTAGTTATTTCCTTGTTTATTTAGTTTTTTGATGACTGTGTATATGTGACTGGTAGAAATTTCAGTTTGTAATGCTTATTGATTATTTTTATGGTGGTATTAAATATGCTGGAGAGGGGGTATGTTAGCTCTATCTCTGATATTGAGCGCTTTCTAATAAGTACCGCATATATAATATATAAATAATTATATATATATATATGTGAAAAGTGTGTATATATATATATATATATATATATATATATATATATATATATATATATATATATATATATATAATTATTTATATTTATATACACACACTTTTCACATATATATATATATATATATATTCATAATATTCACTCCCTCTAACTCTTCAAATGTCGAATGTATAACTAATCCTAATTTATATTTCCTTCACTATACCTCTTCACACTATATTAATTTTAATTTATAAAACCTATCTATCTATCTATCTATCTATCTATCTATCTATCTATCTATATCTATCTATCTATATATATATATATATATATATATATATATATATATATATATATATATATATATATATATATATATATATATATATATATATATATATATATATATATATATATATATATATATATATATATATATATATATATATATATATATATATATATATATATATATATATATATATATATATATATATATATATATATATATATATATTATCTATATATATATATCTATATCTATATATATATATATCTATATATCTATATATATATATATATATATATATATATATATATATATATATATATATATATATATATCTATATATATATATATATATATATATATATATATATATAAACTTGTTTATAAACTCTAAGATCTCTCTTTCCATTAATCCCTTACATCCTTTTATCTTTTTATATTTTAAAGTTATTTTTAAATCTTTTTTTATTCCTTTTTTTAATTTTAAATTAATATTTCATTCTTCATAAAATCCCAAATTAATCTCATAAGGTTAATATTTGGGGTTAATTTTATAAAAACTTCTTCCATTTAAAAGAAATACTTTCCACCCATCCCTGACTCCTGTCTCATGCCTTTCGCCTGACTGAAACATTGAAATGGATAAATTCTGTAGTAGTTTTTCAACTGTTTTTTTTTTTTTTTTTAGCTTTCACAGTTAAATTTCTCTTTCTGACACAAACTCAGTCCACACCAGGGTTGATAAGACAAATGACCGATATCTTTGTCTACTGAAATAGGCTATTCCCCATGAGGTGATTTGGGATTTTATTGTTTAGAGAAAGAGAGAGAGAGAGAGAGTTATCTTGTTGAAGACATACAGTACAAAGTTAATTTCTTGAGACAATGACTTTACCTGTAAACTACCATACCATATAAAGATATATATATGTATATATATGTAATAAACTTATAAATATATCTTGCATCCTGGGTAAGATGTTAAACTACGTCCAGCAGCAAGGCCTCTGATCACCTCTTAATTGCTGGTGTTCCCAGGTCCACCCTGTTAGGGTCCCAGCTATGAGCAAATAGTTAACTATTACCAGCAATAGTTTTTTGGAAAAATTATTACCAGCAATACAATTTTGAAGGAAAAATATTACCAAAAACAGATTTTTCACAAAACAAAATATTACCAGCAATAAAAATTTTGTTGGTATTAAATAACCCATTGAGGTTGATATGCCATAAAACCAACCAAACCAAACCAAACTATACATTTTTGAAGAAAACAAATATTAGCAGCAATAAAATCTTGTCGGCATTAAATAACACACTGAGTTTGATATGCCGTAAAACAAACCAAACATTTTTGAAGGAAAACAAATATTAGTAGCAATAAACATCTTGTTGATATTAAATAACCCATTGAGGATGGTATGCTGTAAAACAAACCAAACCAAACCAAACCAAACTATACATTTTCGAAGGAAAACATATTTGCAGCAATAAAAATCTTGTCAGCATTAAATACCCCATTGAGGTTGATATATCAAATACCTACACAAAATTTTGTTATTGTATTTTCCAATTTTTATTTTCAAATAAGGATTCCTGTTTATGTTTTCTATGTTTCTTCTTTCACTACTTTTCATTGTCTTGTTCATTATCAAGAACAAAATGCAAAATCTCTTCTCATTTAATAAACAAACTATTGTCTCAAACATGCTGTTCAGAATTACTTTCATATTTTCTGAAAGAATTAATTATTAATTGTCAAAAAATATCATGTATGCTCATCAGCATTTGGTTATGCATAAAAAAATAAATGAGAAACATGTATACTATTTACATTATTTTTTTACTGGTAAAAAATGGTTGCTGAAGACATTAAGTTTATAATACCCAGAAATTCATACATATCATATTCATATCCTCAAGGACACATGGCACAGTGGATAATGGTGTTGGTTAGATCCAGTGACAGGACCCAAGGAGTGTGAGTTCAATACCTGGTTAAAACAGTGGAGAACTGTTTTCATTGTCTTGTTCATTAATTAACCTGGTAATAGTTAACTATTTACCCATAGCTGGGACCCTACAAAGTGGAGAACTTGGAGATAATTAACATCCATTAAACATGGAACTAGACATTCCAACCATCTGAAGAAGTCCGGAGCATTCAATGGCTGAAACATTGTAATAAATATGGCTACAAAGATAATAATAATGAACAATAGTCCGAATAATGTAAAGAAAGTGTACATAATACCTCATCTCAGAAATATAGACAGATACTAAAGGGCCGCAAAGTTGTAATTAAATATGGCAGCAAAAATGAGGACAATAGTCCGAATAATGTAATAGTGTACATAATACATCATCTCAGAAATATAAACAGATATGGAAACATGTATGTTGTGAACATGAATAGAAGAGACAGCTACATTTAACTGTTTTGACATTGAAAGGGTGGGACCGAGATGTCAACCTAGTAACACGTTTAAATTCATGCAGACACAACACATAAAATAAGATACAGTTTCGAGTGTAGTGAGACTACTGTTTTGTAATTATTAAATTGTAAATTTCTTCCAGTTTTATTTGTGTTTACCTGGTCTTCTGTTGCAGGGAAGGCAACATCAGGTTTCTGACAATTGCCAGACAAGTCAAGGTCAAGATAACTGATCAGAACACTCATTTAATGATTGGTGAATGAGAAGTATTGATTTTCAGAGGAAATCAATATATTATGGCACATATTTACTCATATGCATACTTTGATACATACTTAAATACATACATACATATATATATATATATATATATATATGTGTGTGTGTGTGTGT